CCAATATATATCTTTAAATTGATGGCTGATTAGATACTTAATAAGTTGTAGTTCTGGAATTGATGTCTTTTTAGGAGGTTTACAGTTAATATGAGGGTTAGAGACACTATTTAAATTACCCATAATTATAATTTTATACTTAGAGTTATATATAAAATATAAAAAACAAAAAAATCTAAAAAAGAAGATACAATATGTATTATAATTTGATCTTTTTAACAATATAATTTAATTAGTTAAAAAGCTGTTCTTACAAAAATTCACTTATTAAGATTTTAAGATAGTCCTCAATCATAATTGGTCAATATGTCTCAACTCATTTTAGTCTTAAATATTTTATTTAAGAACTAAAAAATTATCTTAATAAAATTTTGAGCTTAACATTTTTTAAAAACTCAATTTTGATCTAAAATTATTTTAACTATTCTGTATACTGTATTAGTTTTCTAGTAGAAACATTACAATTTACTAATAGCCAGTATATTGTGAATTCTTTTCAAGAAAATACATGCTTTTAAATATCCTTCTTTAACTAAACCTTCAAGCAGCTTAATAGCAGCTTTCTGATCTTGTTTTCTTATCTTATCAACTCCAATTCTATGCTATAAATAATATGCTAATCAATACTTTACTTCTTTATCATCTTTAGTTTTAGCAAATTCTTTTAATATTTCTCAGATTTCTCTTAAAATATTGTTAATTTTAATATCTTTTTCTGATCCATTAATGTTCATAATATGAAATTTAGCAAAAAATGTATAGCAATTATCTAAATGTGAAAATCTATTTTAAAGTTTGCTAAAGCATAGTCATAGTTAAGATGCATTTTGCATTTTGAAAAGTATAAAGTTAGTTATAAGATTATTGCTAAGTATATATATTTAATATTTTTCAAAATAATTAATATAACTACAACTCTTCCTGCTGATTCTTTATATACAAAAATATAAAAACAAAACAATGACAAAAATAATAAAAACACACAACCGGCTATAGGAAACAAGCTTTGTAGCTTTAAGAAAAAAGCAAGAAGACTAAAAATAATGCTTAGTTTCTTAAGAAACTTGAATAAATAGAGCAGAAGTGGCAAAGATATAGTAGAAAAACTCAAAAAATTATTGATAATTTTACCTTTTGAAAGTCATTTGAGGAATTGGCTTTGATTTTGTAATGCAAATTAGTTGTTATTATACAAGATATACAATATGTAATAAAAAATAAACAAAAAAAATACATTAAAAAACACATGACAGATGAAAACAAAGGAGATATACAAATATAACAACTAAATAGTCACATGAAGCAAGAAATAATAGAAAATGTTAGAACCAAACCTACAATAACAGAACAAGCAAAAGAACAAATAGAAGCAATATATATAAAATTGAGACAACATAGAGCAGGAAGAATTAAATATACAGAACTTGTACTTAGAAAAAAAATAATACAGTATATTATGAAGCAGTATAATTAGAAATTGACCCAACAGAACACATCCTACTAGATGAAGTAACTAGTACTATAAGAAACCTATATATAATAAAAAGAGAAAGACTGTTTATATATAATAAAAAAAATAGCCGCTAAGTATACAAGGGTTAGAATAGAGACAGAATGAATGAAAAGACTAGATAAGCAGAAAAAGTGTCAACAAAGACAGTATAATAAAATAACATTAGGTCTATTATTATAGCACTTTAGAGAATCAATAAAATTAATAAAAATAAAATAATACAAAGAAAAAAGGAAAAATAAAATTAGTAAAGAAATAAAGAAGATGTAAGTTTAACAGAAAGCAAAGCTGCTAGAACAAAAATATAAAAAAGCTAAAGAAAAAAGAAAAAATATTGAAGAAAAGAAACACAAAAAGAGATATTGAAGGCCTCATAGAGAAGAAAACTTTAGACAAACTAACTGAAGAATCAAGACCAAGAATTCTGGCAATAGCCTTAATAGAAAAGAAAAACTCTATTAATATATAAATCAAAAACCCATGAAGAAAAATACTAAGGTAGATAGTAGAGTATTGTAATATAATCAATTTTATTAGTAGATATTTTATTAGTTAAATTTATATTATTATACTTTATTAGTAAATTTT